CTACCTCGCCGTGCTTTCCGTGATCATGCTCGTGCCCTATGCGGCCATGGCCCTCATGTACGAGTACACGCACCGGTTGCTGACGGAATCCAACCTGCTCGGAAACCGCGACGCTGCACGCCGCACACGGTCCTGGTGGTACCTGTTTGACTATGCACTTTTGCCCGTGTGCGCCATCCTGTACGTGGCCATGCCCGCAACTTCGCACTGCAACAATGCCGTCCGTATTCTCGTGTTGCGCAAGCACGCAAAGGAGTTCCAGTATGTGGTTGCTGAAAAGGGCCAGGCTGCTGAGGAGACACCCGAGGTGCCCGCCGCACACACGATCCCCGCCCCCTCGTCCATTGCCCTGTTGCCGCCTCACTTGCTTGCATCTGCTCCGGGCACGGCTGCCACGTCGCCAGCGCTGTCCGAGGTGGATTCGGGCATTGATCGCAACGAGAAGATGAGCGTTGACGACGAGGACGAGGACGTCGAACTCGCTGGCGTCTCTGTGGCGCCCACGTCGGCACCGGCAACGCCGCTCATGCCTTTGCCCGCAACGCCATCAAGCATACTCACGGGCACGCACTTGCACCGGCTTGCAACAACATCGTCAGCTGTGGCCGCCATGGCCATGCCCCGCTTGCAGCTCCCGCCATCCGTGTCGCCATCCATTGCCCTCACGCCTCCCTCGCCCCACCCGACCACCTCGCACATGCTCCAGTCGGTCGCCGCAGAGTCATGGGCCGCGGCAAGATCGGCAAGTGCAAAGAAGGGCCATGCAAAACACTTGTCAACAGATTCCGGGTTTTACGAGCCCAGTGTGGCAAGCGTAGGGGATGCAGAACGGCAAGCGGCCATTTCACGGTGGGTTGCGAGCAATGCACATCAGCTGCAGCATCAGCAGGTGCAAGACCTGTGAGAGGGCGTGTGCGCAATCCTGCGCACAAGCGGGGAATGAGCCGGTAGGTGGATCGAGATGCGTGGATAGTTTTCCGCTGTTAGTGTTTTGATGTCATTCACGCCATATTCCGGGCCAACGTGTGTGTGTTGCGTGTTTGTGTAATTGGGTTTTCCCCTTCGTCCCTGTCCCTTTTCATTCTCTCTCCTTGTCTCTGCATGCGTAATTGTCCCATCCCTTTTTTTGTTTCTTGACCTTGCGATCTCCCTCCGCACCTTGTTCTTTCCTCTATTTTCCTTTTTGCCTTTCACTCACGTCCGTCTTCTTTTCGTTTTTGCTTTGCATTGACGCATGCACGGCGCACACCGTTTTCTGGAAACCTCATCGTCATTTTCGTCTTACCTACCTAATCATAACCTTGCCTACCCTCCTTTTCTGCTTGCTTTGACTGTTTTGCTCTTTGCCTCGGTTTATCCTGCCGCGTCTCAATTTTTTCCCTTGTCTCCTCTCTTGTCTTTCTATAACCGGTATAATCAGATATTGTTTATTATATTTTCCCATTCGGTTTCCTGCATCTCTGTCGGCGCCCGGACTGCTTGTCAAGGACACGACGTGACCACACCACCCCCGCGTCAACTAACGACGTATGTGATAAGCGGTCCTGACGACGACCTCTTCACACGCACTAAGGCTGTTTTCGCCTCCCCAATCAACGCCAGCTCACGCCAACTTAGTTCCAGTGAGTCCTTCACATCCGATGGTCTGCAACCATCGTTGCCGGACTCGGACAAGTTGTTTTGCCCAAACGCGCCAGCTGTGCTTGTTTGTTGCTGCCGTCTGCGCACCCTTGAATCATTCCACACTCGCCAATTGTCCTTGAAGTTGGTCAAGTAGGGCACTCGGCGTGTGAACGAGACAAGAAACATGGCCATGCCAATGGCGAGCAGCCACATGCCCGTGAAGAGCGGGAACAACTGCGTGTCGATGATGAGGCACCCCAAACTGCACAAGGTGACAACAAAAGACATTCAAGGTGAGCGAACATGTGTCGGGAGCATCAAGATGGCAAGGCTGACCGTACAAGACGTAAAGCAGTCCGCGCCCTTGACGGTGAAGAGGAAGAGAAAGTATTCGATGGCTTGGTCGATTTCTTTGAGCTCGATCACGAGCAGAGACAAGCCCAGGACACTATCCAGGGTTTCATTGGGCAAATTCGGGGAAGTTAGCAGGGAATTGGATGCATGCCGCCACTCTACCATATGTTTATAGTATATGTACCAAGCATAGACATTGATGAGCGTGACCGAGAAGTTTGCTGTATCGGACGCGAGCTTGTATACGGTGCAGGAGATGAAGAGCAGGATCGTGGACAAGTTGACAAAGTTCACCACGACGGCACGCAGCGCACGGTATCTTGTATTTTGGACAGTGCCTCGTGTTGTTGCCAGGCAACGGTTGAGTCGTCTGCGGCGCTTTGAGGGTTGTGGGCCGTGTTCATCGGGTTGTGCGAGGCCGAAAAGCTAGTTGCCGCGGTTGGAGCAGGCGCACCATTGGGAGGCGGAGGTTGCGGGTAGTACGTGTTGGTTGGGACGGTCATGGTGCTTTACTCCTTGGGTTGCATGGTACACGACATGTTTGCCTCCATACGCTGAATCCAACTCGAGCAAGAAACGCGTCAGGCTGGCGTTTGCGATGGGCAAAGGTGGTCGGTTGTATCGGCAAATGGAGTCCGCCGATCCATCCATGCCATCCTGATCCAGAATGTCACGCTCAAGTCAAAAATGCGCACGTAAAGGCATCAAATGCACCGGACCACAATACATATCATTTGATCGTATGCACTCCACGAAATGACCAAAAATGGATGGCACATCCCCTCCGATACCTTCACAGCCGCCCAAAGCAACAGCCCTCTACCTCCCACCCCCACCAACTGTCATCCCCTTGCGTCCTAACCTCGGCAACTGGACCCAGCACGATCACCATTGCCTCCGGAACGCTCTCGCGCGCATTCCCTCATGGGACATTGCCGCCCTCGCTGCCGCCATACGCAAGCCGCCCGTCGAAGTTGTCTGGCACCTGTCCACGGTGCACGCCGCAACACTGGTTGCACAACGATCATTCGAGGTTGCGCTTGATCCGCTCCAGGCTCTGTTGGTTGGATTCAATCCGGTCAATTGCAGTGATACGGGAAACAACGCAACACAGGACATTCAGGATGAAGACACATCCACCAGTGGCTGGGAGTCGGACGATGCAAGTGACGGAGACGATGAGGACCGTGACCACGAGAGACGAAACCAGTGCATGTACGCCCAAGAGTCGGACAAGCCAACGATTGCCAAGGAGGAAGAGACGAGCACTCGGTTGGCCCGTAATTTGGACAAGATGCTCGTCCAGCTCAATCAGGAACGCCCGTTGTCTCGGCTCAACAAGCGCAAGGTCAGTGTGTTTTCTCGCACGCGGATAACCAAAATCATGTCGCAGTGCGTCCTTCAATTGCCGCTTCACATCCGGATCCCCAATCCGCCGCATTCTCACCGTCTGCCCCCTCTTCTTTGTTCGCTGCCCCGCCCCATAGTCATCTCAACAATGGCTCACCCCTCACCGTCCTCAACGACACCTGGCTCGACCTTCACGACCACCTCTCGTCCTTTATCCGCACCCGACTTGTCGCCGCCTACAACCACGCCTACGCGCGCATGCAAGCCACGCACAAGCACGGCACGCACATTGTCGTCGACCACCTTACGCTCGACGACATGCAATCTGCGCTCGCCGTGTGTGCCGCCACGTGCAGGCCCAATGGGATTGCGCGCGCACGCGCCGATGCCGAGCGCACCAAGGAGCTTGTTCATTGGTGGCATGCCGAATACTTGCCTGCGAATCCAGAAGTCAGGGAGGAAATGGGCAAAAAGATGGAGCGCATGTTTCGCGCGAGGGGCATTGAGTGGCGGCAGGTCAGGACGTGGCGGCCCAGGCAGGATTTGTTGGCGAGATTGGACCATGTGTTTATCAAGACACGTAGGCAGCGGAAGTGGGCAAGGACGCGAGCCGCGGTTCATGATGAAAATGAGTCGTCGAGCAATGAGGAGCAGAGTACGAGTGATGATTGGAGTGAGAGCGAGAGCGATGAGGGATCGGGTGTCGGGTTGGCCCAGTTTGAGCGTGTGCAGCGGTGGCTGGATGCGGCGGCGGCGTCTGAACCAGTCAAGTTGCCGGATTCGCAAGGCTTGTTCCACGTGGATGCGCTCATGTCGCTGCACGACAACGGTCACGAAGAGGACGAGGACGAGGAGGAAGAGGACCAGTTGGACGACAGCGCATCTGACCGCGAGGACGAGGAGCACAGCGACTCTGATCGAGACGGTGACGAGCTTGAGTTGGACTCGGACGGCTTGCCACGCAGCGGCCAACGGACTCGCCGCTCATCGACTCGAACCCCGCCTCGTTCCCCTCCACCGCCGCCTCATGCTCCATTTCAAACACCTGCACCGCTTCGCTCAATTTCTGCATCACAATTCGCAACGCCTGCAACGGCCACGCCCGGCACTCGCCGAGGGCGCCCCATTCGGTTCCGAGTCGGACCCGACGTAGGTGACAACTTCATGGATGATGACGAGCCGCCGTCGGTGCTGCGTTCGTCGCGGCGGGCAAAGCGGCCGCTGCCGCCCGACGAGTCACCCAGTCGGAGCAGGGTGCGGGCGAGTCGGTGGGAGGATGCGGGGGCCGCGATGGATGTGGATGATGAGGGTAGGGATCAAGTGGACGAGGAAGAGGAGGACGATGGAAATGCGGCAAGGTCCCAGTCGTCTGATCGTGAAGAAGTTGATGAACTGCCGCAGGCCAGTGGGAGTTGGAATGTGCGAAAGCGAGCCAGGTTTGGCTGAGGCGTCGACGGTGGGTTCCCAAGTTATGTCATTAACACATCATACTCTGATCTATATGTACCAACGCAAATCTGCAAATCCCAGTATGATGCGAACGCACGGATGATCCAAGTGTCTCACCCAAAAACGCGTTGCCAGGAAAACGAACAAAGATCAATATACATTGCCGACTCCACTCATGAGTCAGGAGAGACAAAAGACGTAAAGAAACGAGGAAAAAAGTAGGGCGACGTGGACACGATTCGAACGTGCGAGCGCAGAGCGCAGCCGGTTAGTAGCCGGCCCCCTTGGACCACTCGGGCACCACGCCTGTTTGTGATGACGAGGGCAGCTGGGTCATATTTCTATGTCTGAACATAAGGTGGCCATACATACAGCATAGTGGGGAAACGGTCTCAGTCTGACTGAATCGTGAAAAAAGCGTCTCACCGAGCTATTTCGATGCACTCTCTCTCGCGCTCTCCGCCCAATACTTGCCAATCGCGGCCCCACGCGTACAACACAAGCACTCTCGTCATGCCCCTCTTCCATCGTGGCCGCCGTGACGCCCAAGCGGCGCCGCCCTCTGCTGCTGCGGGCCTCGCCGACACCCCCATCCTGGCCCACGACCGCAAAGGCCGCCTTCGCCGCGGGCCTGCTGCCGCCACCACAGCCGTTCCGGTGGCACACGCCCACTCGACCCTGATCGACCCTGCCATGCGCAGTTACACATATGGCGGCAAGCAGTACACGTACTACGATCCGAGCTTCCACTACGACCGCGGCCACGAGCGCAATGTCTCGGTGCACCCAAACGACGTGGTCGATCCTTACCTCCGCACGCACCTCAAGGACATTCGTCTTAAGGCGCAGCACGGACAGCTTGGCCCGAATGATCCGGCATTGGTGAGGACGCTGCCGCCCGAGGACAGGTTGGACTTGTTTGAGCCAGCGTACATGGGTCAAACAAGGAGGAGGAGGTTTGCAGAGGACGAATTCTACGCGGATCAGGGTGACGTTGAGACCGCCACAACGACGACGCGTCGTCGTCACAAGCGCGACAATTTGGGTCGCGGTTATGGCCGCCGTGAACGGTCGCCGGATTACTATTATGATGAGGGCGTCGCTTCGAGGTATCCACGCAGCAGTGCCCGCGCGCCAGCTGGGTCGAGTGGCCGCTCGTCGTCCTTGTTTCGTCCCGTTGGCACCCGCTCGGACTCGGTTTATGGTTCGTTCTCTGCGGCAGTGAGACCATGGGTGACACTGACACAACTCTACTATTGTCGCGGCCATTGAACAGACGATGCATATACTTTGCGCCGCCCTGCGCGTTCATCCAGCGTCCCCGCCCAACGCTACGGCGCCGCCCCCATCGCACACACCCGCCTGGCCTATTCGACTGCCGATGCACTGCCCTACGGCACCACCTCGCGTAGAACCTCCCCTATCCCGACATCCACTGCATACGGCCGCTCTCGGCTCACGTCTGCCTCGGCCACCCGCCTCTCACAACACGACCATGGCGCCGGAAATGCCGACCTGATTACTGACCGGACCGAACCCGTCGTTTTTCACCCAACATCTGCCGCGGGCAAGGGCACGCTCGAGTGTGACCATGGCGCCCACGTTGCTCTTGGGTCAAAGCAGTCGTTGCCGTACGACCCAAACGTGCCCACAACCACCACCGTGTCCGGCCCGCCGCTCGCAAACCGGACGCTGTCTGCACCGGCGACCGGTGTCATGTTTCATCGCGAATCGCTGACGGCCGCGCGTGTACCTGGACACACGGCGTTATCGCGGACGGGAGCGGGGACATACGATCGCACAGCACCCACTGGCGGACTTCGTGGCGCGGTTCCCACAACCACCGTTGCGGCCCTGGATCGCGCCAACCGCATAGCGCTTGCCGAAGCAGAGGCCAATCGGCCCGTGTCGTACACCAAGGTCGGGCCAGTGACATTTGTGCACGATCAAGATCGCAGCTATGGCAACCAGAGCAGGATGGCCACGTTGAGCAGGGCGCGTGCGTTGGGACCCGGAAGGACGCACACGACGACTGAGATGGCCATCATGCGCAGCAATGCTATTGCCAGTGCCGAAATGGCGAGGGAGCAAAACAGTCGCAGGACGGTCACCAAGATTGGGTCGCTGCTCACCTTGTCCCGTTGATTGCTTGGATTATTGGTGATTGGGTGGTTATGTAGCCAAGAGGTTTTTGTTTTCCTTTCGTGAGTCCACATTCATTCAGTTCTGTATCGTTTTATTTATTATGTCGGACGCCGTCTTGTTGCCGCCATTTTCGTTGTACTGATTGTCCTCCCGCAGCATCATTTTCTCTTGTCGTTCATCTTTCTATTGTCATTTCGGTCTCTTTGTTCAATGGAATCCATTTATGTACATGGACTATCAATTTGGCAATGTGAGGCGCTTGCCTACTATCCATCGTCTTTTCCCAGTTGTATTGTGACTTCAGGAGGCATCCCACTGACGCGTCTGGATTTGGCGTTCAAGCTTGAAATTTTAAGAAACCTACGTGTCGGTCGACCGCTTTCTTCCTTCCCTTTGGAGTTGTCCGATGGGGCAGCAGTGTCTTTTTGGCTCGGGTGGCGGGCGGCATAGGTCCTTTGTGGTGCATTCGCTCAAGTATCCCCCAATCGAAAGCGGAGGGCGACGGATCGGTGTGCCAGCTGCGCTTGAGAGTTCCGACCATATGAATGAGATTCATTTCAAATCTGGTCGAAATAATGGGTGGATGCCGCAAAAGACAACAACCAGAGCATCATGAAAGTGGACCCACAGCAAAGAATGCTCAGTCAGAGTTACAACTTGTTCCCTGTCTCATTATGAATTCTTCGACAATCATTCTTAGTACCTGATCCTCATGCATGCGTGTAAAAACTTGAGATGGACAAAGGTTTTCATAGACGTGCAACACGTCGACATAACTTCAGACTGACACCATGACATGCAACACCATGACAGGAGGCTTCAATCAACCACTCGCTCTATTATCTCTACGTTGCTTGCACTTTACTTCCTGGGCGGGCGGTCCGAGCCGGCGCAGTCCCAAGCGCAGTCGTCCATGCACTTGTTGTCACCGTGGCACCTCCTGATGCACGAGCGATAGCACTGGTAGTTGCGCTTGTGCAGCGTGGGCTTGGTGGGAGCGGCCATGGGAATGTCGGGGCCGGGAATGTTGCAGAGCCAGTCGCAGTCGTCGCGACCTTGGCGGATGCAGTTGTAGTAGCAGCGGTAGTCGACGCGCTCAATGTTGGCCGAGCCCGAGGTGGCGGCTATGTTGGCATGGATGTAGTTTTTCGGGTCAGCATAATGTCATCATCATCCGCAACATGGGATCCATGTGAAGGATTGGTACCAGCGTTGGCGGGAGCGGGCGAAGCCTGAGCGGACATGCCGAGAGCGACGAGGGCGAGAGCGAGGAACGAAGTGGTCTTCATGGTGATGGGATGTGAGGAGGCTGGTTGACTGGCAGGCGAGAGGTGGATGAGGGACATTCGGATTGAGGGAAATGGTAAGCGGGCGGGCAGTTGACTTTATACCCGTGACGCTCCAGAAGGCGGCACGGGTTGGGTCAACCCGCTGGTGCGAGGATGGTCCAGGAGGATTGTGAGGAGCAAGGATTGAAGCGACAATCAGCCGACAAGGAAGGGCTGCGGAATAGCATCCATCGAACCTGGCGGTATGTCGATAGATTTCCACCTACGTACCCGACTGGCATATTTGGTAAGCTTGCAACTAGACACACATGCATGCACCACAAGATTTTGTAAATGATTCCAAACAACGACTCATGTGGTCTCATAAATTATATACCGCATCGATCGTTGGGCCGAACGTCAGTAGGCACCGGATATTTACATCCACGTAATAGGCGACGGCTACAGGTCAACAATCCAGTCAGCTAGGTAAGGTTGGTATTCGCGCAGACATTTGTGCAGTTGCGGTGCAGTGGAATAATCGCATGTGACATCGTGAAGGTCGTGTGATCAAATGTCTCACTTCGAGAAACGCGCGCATGCGTGCGGTAAAGTGGGATAATGCACGAATAATGAGTTGTGTCGTTGCGCGTCACTTTTCTTGCACTTGCACCGTCAACACGCCACCTGCATACAATCAGTTGCCCGCCTGCGGCTGCAGCTGGCCGAGCTGGCCGCCACACACAGCTGCGGCTGTGTATCAAGCACGACCATTGTCATCGACGATCATTGGAGGTGCCGGCAACAGCATCCCATGGCGTTCGGAACAGGTCACGACCAGTTTGAACTTACTGCGGACAAGTCATATGGGAGATAACCGCAGCGGTGGAGCGCTGTGGCCGGTAGGTTCCTTCCATCAACATTTGGGGATGCGGTTGTAGTAGAGGCCGGGTCAGGCGGGGTCAGCCCACCCACAAGCCAGTGACGTTTCCTGGCGAGTTTCAGAAGAGGGAACTGTGATAGTCCTGACCCATGAGAAAGAACCTGAGAGACCCGGCATCTTCTCCACTCGCCACAAGGATGGTCATGGTGTTTTCTTACCTTCTTCCTGAGTGAGACCCTCTCCTGAGAATTCGATGGCGGGGATTAGTGACGGGACAAAGAAGTTTGTGTGTATCAACTCCTTCCTGATGGAACAGCGTTCCAAAAGAGTATGGCAGTTGCGTACACATCATCTGAGCGGAAGGATAGAGATTGATTGGTATACAAACAGTACCCCAGTGATCGTCCATAGAAGTTTCCACGAATCTGTAATCTGTCACATCGGCCGGGGGGCTGCACCACCGCCGACGGCACATGATACCTGCGCACCAGCAAGCGCTTGTGGGGGTGACCGTACCATTGGCAGCAGCATCAATCGGCTCGGAAGTGTTCCACCGCAACTACGCTGGCCATTGGTACGGTGGTCTGCCTAGCTGTCACGGTACTTGAGCGCCAGAGAGCCAGCAGCTCTAGGCGGGTACCTGCAAGTATAGGACGTGCAAACATGCAAGTGATGCCGATTGGCGGTGCAAGGGCGAGGCAATCGACGCGCACAGCAATGAAATAGCCTGATTCCTTACCGCACGCATGCGCGCGGTTTTCATGTGAGACATTTGATCACCGGACCTTCCCCCTCTTCCCCCTTTCACTTTCTAACTCAGCTTTCCATTGTTCCATATTGCACCGCAAATGCACTGGAGTTCGCCCCGGATGAATGTTCTGAGCAATAAAAGGTATAGGTTTATTCAGTATTGATTCGGTAGGTACTAGACGTATCCAAAATTAATGAGACCACATGAGTTGCTCCTCACCCGTCCAATAACCCGGCGGTGCATGAATGCCATTTTGCGTG